ATGTTTGTGTGGACGTTAATATAGTTATCCTTTTGTAGTGGTTATCTTTATAGTTATCATTCTTGGTGTGAACAGGCCTTAAAGGAATAGTTTACCTCGAAAATGAAAATTCTGTCATCATTTACTCACCCTCATGTCGTTCCAAACCTGTTTAAGTTTCTTTCTTATGTTGAACGCATAAGAAGGTATTTTGAAGAATTTTGAAGAACCACAGTTGTCGGTCCCCACTGACTTCCATAGTAGGGAAAGAAATACTGTTTGATTACCTGCATTCTTCAAAATATCTTCTGTAATGTTCAACATAAGAAAGAAAGTCATATAGATTTGGAATGACATGAGAGTGAGTAAATGATGACAGAATTTTCATTTTCGAGGTAAACTATTCCTTTAAGTGTCTTGTTCGTGGTGCTTGCTAAGCTTCGTCATTTCTCTTGATCATACTTTTATTAAACATCCATGTGTAACCAGCTCTGGACTTTAAAGGATGCGCAATATATTGGTACCATATTTTAAAATGTATTTGTTTTGCCTCATATTGCATATTTAATTATGCATGTTCATGTGTGCTAATTTTACATATAGATTACCTTCACTGTCATCTAACACTCATTTGAATTAATCTCTAAAAAAACTAATGATTTAATAACAGTTAAATGTAATCTTTTGCAAATCGCAAATTAATATCCATTTTTCATGTTACAATGTTTTATGTAAAGTCACTAGTAGCATTTAAAAGGATTATTTACAAAATATAGTATTTTATTATCAGAAATATTTTGGTTATCAGCAATCATGATCTGTGCATCCTTACTTTACCTGGCTCAGGTAAATGGGTGAAAATATTGGGGATTGGTAAGTTTTTTTTTTGTTGTTGTTTTTTTTTATGTTAATGTTAATGTTAAAGTCTCCTATGCTCACAAAGGCTGCATTTATTTGTTGAATAAAATAATTAATTTCTTTAAAAGAAAACATCATACTGACCCCATACTTTTGAACAGTAATGTACGTTAGAATGACTTGAGTCAAATCTAGGGATCAGAATTTTGTAGAAATGTGGAGATGGGCCAGTAAACAACTACCCTAGAAGCCTTATGGCGCTTTTCCACTGTGTGGTACGACTCGGCACGGCACGGCTCGATTTCCACTGCAGTTTAGTATCGCTTTAGAGTGGGCGGGATTATTCAAATGTTGTTAGTTGCGCCGCCTCTACTGCCGCGACTTCTGAAAAACGTTTTCATTCCGCGTCGCCCCATCAAGCTCTCGCTGGATCCGCTCCCCTGCTATCAACGAGACGTTCCGTCTGTACTTCCTCGACAGACAACGAAACAGCCACTTTTTGGTTGTTAAAAAAGGTGCGCTCATTCAAAACAGTTGCGTTCGATCCTTCGCTGGCTGTGCTGATTTAAATCTAGCGGTTCTGTTGTGTTTGTGTCGCAAGTTCAGTGACGCAGGTAGTGACGATTCTCTCTGGCCAATCCGTGATCAGCAGAGTTTACACGTCACGTTTTGGTAACGGTACGGTTCACTTGGAACCTCAACCGAGGTGGTACTAAAAAAAGTACCAGGTACCAGGTACTGTACCCAGTGGAAAACCTCCCAAAAGTGAACCGTACCGAGCCGTACTGTGCTGTACCATGCAGTGGAAAAGCGCCATTAGAAACCACACAGCTACACACTAAAAAGTACCTTAAAAAAGCACTTAGCAACGCCCTGGCAACCACCCTAGAATTTATTTTTTGCTTGTTGGTACTCTCTTTTTTAATAAACCCTCTGCTTTAAGTCTTATGTTGTATGTTGGAGTAGCTTTCACATCAATATGCACATTGTTTATAGAGTCTTGTTTTTAGACCAGTAGTTCAAAGATCAGTACAAACCTCTTAATAAATTGTGAGGGGTTTTTCCAGTTTAGCTTAGATCACGAGTTTCAGTTCACTCGGTGTCCATCTATTAATTGTGATGTTTTTCTTTGGCAAACGCAGCACTGAAAGAAGAATGAAATGGTGGAAACTGAAATGAATAAGTGAGGGTCTTTAGTGTCTGTGTGGGTCACAAACAGGAGGGGGTCTGGATTTGGTTTTGAAAGAGAAGAGTCCCCTCAATTCCCCCTCCCCACAATGTGAGAAAAATAAAACAAAGAGAGTAATGTGGAGTGCGACGGGCCGTGTCTTTCATGATCTCTGCTCTCCGCAGCCTGGATTAGGACAATGAGAGCCAGCACAACATACACACTCAACAAAAAAAAAGAAAAAAAGACAACAACAAGCGCTCTGTTTCTTTCGAGAAGAAGCATTGTTGCTTTGTTAAAACGACAAAGCAGATCAGCCTTGGAATTTTGTCTTCATCCATCACATAGAACACATCATTTACAGAGCTCAAAAATGTTTGGAGATGTCCAGAAATTATATGCTCGGCCTGTTTTTTTTTTTTTTTTGAGGCGCTGCACCAGATCCACACAATGAAAATTGGCATGGAGCACCCCGGGCCTTAATCTCTCTGAAAATAAACAGGAGTCCTCCAAAGGTCACCCAAGCGGGATCCATTCGCTCTATGTGTTGGTGGAAATGTCACTGTAACTGAATGGAACCAATGAGGTGGATGGGATTTATTCCCCAATATATAAGTCCAGTATTGATTATGACAGCATTGTCACATTCTATCTAATCTGAAGGTCATTTGTGTCGAAGGGTGCAGGACTGTCCTTTTATTTTTGTGACTTGGATTGGAGGACAATTGATGTGGGAGGGTTCAAATTTGCATGCATCAAGATAGCAGACTGAGAAAGAGTGAGGTTGTTGGAGCTGCAAGCTTTTGCTGTCCCTTCACAGACAGATCTGCCAGGGCTGCACTTGGATTGACCCATCATGAGCTGAGATTGGATTGACCCATCACCACTCTCCCACTAGAAAACTGAAACTGACAGAAATATACTCTCTATTCATAGTTCTCACAATTTCCTTCTTACAAATAAATATCATGTTAAGGTGCACATTATCTAAATTTCGTTTGGGGGAAAAAATATTTTCCATTGTCAATAGTGACTTTTCACACAGAAGTCACTTTCAAACCAAGCAGCTTTCTGTTGGTCAGTGATCAATTTGAATATGAGCTAAATCTGCATGGGGAATTTTTTCGCTTCACACAAACAACTTCTCTTATCTTCTAGTTTTTCAGACCATCTATGGCTGTGTTTGTTGAAGCCAGTACACTGATCTGGAATTTTAAGTGTAATGTTAAAGCATTAGTTCACCCAAAATATAAAAATTGTCATAAATTACTCAGTCTCATGTCATTCCAAACCCATAAGACAGTTTATGTTTTCAATACACAGATGAAGATATATTTAATGAAACATAAGGAAATTTCTGTCCCTGCATTGAAAGTTCATTAATCCGAAACTTGGACAATTCACAAAGTTCATAAAGTCATTGTTAATAATAATGAAAATATGGAAAATGGAAACTCAAATGCTTATTTGATGCAGAAGTATGGTATAGTTTCTGTTTAACTTAGGGTTGCAAAGGGGTGGAAAATTTCCAGAATCTTTCCAAAGTTTTCAAAAATTTCTGGAAAATTTGCACCTTTTTACACCCCTAATTTACCATATTTGGTGTGCTCTTTATATGTGTGTTGATCAGTTTTCAAGTATGAAAAAAACAAACACCTAAATTAAATCTTTTCTTTACATAAAACAACCGTGTCCCCTCAGGAGACTTTAATTAAACCTCAGTTCATGTTATTTGCTTTTACAATGTATTTGAGTTTTTTGAAGCAAATGAGTCATTGAAGAGCCTGTATTTTTAATACTCTATATTTAAGAACATATGTTTGACACCGATACAGAAATGCTGTATTGCATATTTCAAACTGAAGGTGTTATAATTTTCATGCATGCAAGACATTGGCTCATGATCCTGTGCCTTTGAAACGGATTAACGGTGCATTATTGATAGGGCATCAGATCAAACACAAGAGCAGATCCTGACAGACTTGGCTCTTCATATCTGCAAAGGGTCTCCATGGCAACTGGTTTTAAAAGGCACTTTCCTCCTTTGCTTCAGGACTGTTTATTTTTATCTAGCTCTGCCTTTCTGAGAAACCAGATGCAGCACCTGAAAAACATGAACAACAAGAGAATGTCTTTGTGATATTCTAACTCGCTCTTGAAACACCTCCATGATAATTCTGCAATAAGTGGAATTCATTTAAAGGGGTGTTCAAACGAAACTTTTAACGAACTTTCTCTCATTTAATCAGCCTCATGTTGTTCCAGACTTATAGAAGAGTGTGTACGCAGCACTTTTCCTACACAAGACATAACATTTTTCAGTCTGTGACCTGAAATAGAGTATATGGACTACTTTTATGACAATTTTATGCAATCGTTTGGTTAGTTATTTTATTTGAACTTATTTTATTTGTATTTACTTATTTATTTAGTTTTTGTGTTTTAAAGCCTGAGGTCACTTCATGTGTTGTGTTGTGTTGTTGAACAAAACAGTGTAAACATTCTTCAAAATATCTTAAATGAAGTCATCTTATATAAAGTCATACAGGTTTGGAACAACATGAGGGTAAGTATATAATGACCCTTTTTTTTAGCAAATTGTTCCTGTAAGTGTTTTGTATGGATTAGTAATTATTTTCCATAAAATCAAATAATTTATTTATAAAGCACATTTAAAATCTACTGTTAGGGTGAGCCAGAAACAATTAAATTAAATTAATGAAAAATAAATGGTTATTTATATATACACACATATACAGTTTCATAGAAACCCATGTGTTAGACACAATTTGACTTTATTAGCTCTACATTAATACATCAATAAATATAATTTAATTCATGAGAAAACAAAAAGTAAATCTAATATATATATATATATATATATAATGTAAAAAAATACAGTACAACAAAAAGCCATGTGCTAATCAAAAGTTGACATGGACTGTAATGTTTAGCCCTATATCAGTAACTGTATGTTTTTGTATTATTTCCACAGCCTCAGTTCATCAAGCCCCACCCACACTCCCAAAGACTCCGTCAGCCTATCAGACGTGAAGGCAGGACTATTAGACACCTTGTCCAGGGAGAAAACAATTAAGTCAGGTATTGATTCCTTTCAATCAGTCAGTTGGACATTGATGGTCTCAGCCACATAAAACTGTCATGTTCAATCTCGGTTTGCCATTAGAGGACACAGTGAAATTGGCCCTGTGTGACCAGGCCATTGTCTCGGGGCATGATGGTCTAGCTGGTGGCTGCACCTGGGAGGACAAACTGTGTGAGCAGCAGGAGCAGCTGGAGAGGGAGATGCAGGAGGCGCGGAAAATGGTGTCTAGCCTACAGGTGACACTAACATATATCATCTCCTAATTTAGTTTGAATTGCTTCTAGAAGCTTATAACAGATGTTTTTGTGTGTTTTATAGGCTCTCCTTCTCCATGGTTCATTACCCGAGGATGAGCAGGAGGTGTCGCTCAGTCTTGGTGAGGGAGTTGAAAATGCGGAGCAGCAACTGGTGTGTATCTTTATTTCTGTCCCGATTGTGTTTTACCCCAAATTGGCCTCTTTTCTTCCGTATCCTGCATATCTCTCCCTCATGATAATATGTGTCTTCCTATGCCCCTCCCTTCCCCCATCTCTCATTCTCTCCTGCTCTTTCACTAAGCTCTGTCAGGGCAGATCATGTTACTCTCACGGTGAACTTTGCTTTGTTTGTGGGAGAGACGCAGGTATCCAGCATTTCTCTCCTTCTCTCCTACAGTGTCTGTTTCTCTCTTCCATTTCTTTTCTAGGTTGTCATGTAAACTAGTTCTTTCTGTATTTAGTGTAGTGTGTGCTGTAGTTATGGTGGTTTTGTTTTGAAGTAGCAAAAACCCTCTGTTGTGGTGCTACAGGTTGTAATACGAAGTCGCCTGGACCAAAGCATGGAGGAGAGTCAAGAACTAAAGGTGGGTATTTTTGTTCTGGGCTGTTTCAATTTTGTACATTATTGAGTGTGGCAAGATATTTATACAGGATTTAGTTTTTGCAGCAGGATAAATAAATCCAACAATATGTGTAATATAAATATTACATAAATATATATAAAATATATGCTGTATGTGTGTGTCTTTATATATACATACTAAATATACACAGTACACACATATTATGTAAAAAATGTTTATTTTGGATGCAATTAATCGCGATTAATCATTTGACAGCACTTATATATATATATATAATACACTACCAATCAAAAGTGTGAGGTCAGCAAAATGTGTTTTCTGGAAAGTATTGAGTACTTTTATTCATCAAGGATTTATTAAATGAATCAAAAGTGACAGTAAAAACATTTATGTTCCCAAAGAATTCTATTTAAAATTAATGCCGTTCTTTTTTATTAACCAAAGAATCTTGAAAAAAAACCTATATCACAGTTTCCACAAAAATATTGAACAGCACAAATGTTTTCAACGTTGACAATAATAAGAAATGTTTCTTGAGCACCAAATCAGCATAATATAATGATTTCTGAATGATCATGTGACACTGAAGACTGCTGAAAATTCAGCTTTGCTAATGCAGGAATAAATAAATAAATACATATTAAATAAATAAATGTTAAAATATATTAAAATAGAAAACATTTTGAATTGTAATATTATTTCATGATATTACCTTTTTTACTGTATTTTTGTAGTAAATGCAGCATAAGAGACTCCTATACTGTATTAATGTATTTTTGAGTAACATTTTAGTTCGTTTGACTACTTTATACTTACTTTGTAGTCACTTATTTATGTGCTGATCTTGTCAAGTCCTGTTGTTTGTTTTTTTTAAACCATGCTGTAAAGTCTCTGGAGTAATTTTGTTTATTTATATTATATTTACATGCAGAGGGAGCTATTGAGGTTCAAACAGGAGGCTCGCAACCTGCAGGGGGTGAAAGTAAGTCTTGCATACCTCCAAACTCCACATGTCTATAAAATAAGACCCTCACACTCACATTACTAAGAATTCAATTAGTCTCAGACTGATATATAGCAGAACAAGTTAGATATGCGAGTTTAGTTTAATTGACTGTGCTTTGTCATCACTCAGGATGCTCTTCAGCAGCGTATGGCTGTGCAGGAGTCCTCAGTCCTGCAGCTCAAACAGGAACTCCTGCGCACCAGTATGGCCAAAGATGAGCTGGCGGGACAAAATGTGAGCGCATGCAAAAGACCTGACATTTTTGTATTTATGCTATGCATATTAATTTTATTTCAGTTAATATTTAATAAATATATAATAATCCATAATATATAATGCATAAAAATATAAAGAAGATATAAAGAAAATATTTTTAGTATTGTAGTATTCTATAAATATATGTTAAATTGAGAGTGAATGCTTTTGAAACTTAATATAAAAGTATGCAGGTAAAAATGTCGCTAGGGCAAGTACAGGCCTGACCACCCCAGCAGGAAAAAAAAAAAATCCTTATTGTTGAGACCTAATAATGAATCTGTTTACCTCATTATGTAACTGAAGGCTTCTGCACTTTCTTGTATAGAACAGTTCAGTGTGAATGAGAATGTTTGTGTGTTTCTCAGGCTTGCCTGCAGAGGGAGCTGGAGCACAAGGAGAGTATTCTCAAAGAGTTAATGAGCCATGAGACAGAGGAGGTAACGCCTATAAATAATACACAATTCTCCCCACAGCGGTTTGTTTTCACACATTGCAGATTATGTTTAGTGCTTCCTTTATTTCTTCAAATTTCAAGTAAAGACGCCTTGTCGTCTGTTTCAGCTTCCTGGCTCGCAAAACAACGGCTATTCACACCCACCCGTCACAGCATCAAAACCACACCATGGGGTAAATAAGCCTGAAGCCTTTTTTTCCCTCGATTATTTTATATTATATCTATAGAGATATATGTAATTGGGTCTCTTATAGGCTGAGGAGCTGCAGTTAGTAAGAGATGCTCTCCATAGTCTGAGGAACAGCTTTGGAGGTCACGACCCTCAGCATCACACTTTGGACACCCTTGAGCAAGGTGTGGCCAGCCTGATGGATCGCCTCTATGACCTGGAAACACGCCACAAACATGAGAGGAGGGTACGATGAATGTTTATCCATTCTCATACAGCAGGTTTTGCACCTGATCTACATTCTGTTCTCAAATCAGTCTGTTTCATTGTAGACCCGAGGCAAATCTCCAGGTCATAAAGCGTCTCACTCAGATCGAGACTCCTGGCCTCCTACTTCAAGTAAGCATACATCTTAATCCCAAAACTACGGTGGCCCAGTAGTGCACAACACAACAAAATTGCTGCAACACAACGAAATTAGCACAACATAACAGAAACAAGCCACAACACAAAAAAATTAGCACAACACAATGGAAACAAGCCGCCACGTAATGGAAACAAGCCCCAACACAACGAAAACAAGCCACAACACAACGAAAACAAGC